CCCCTGCTACCTTGAAAGTGCTCCCCCCGCCCCCGAATGCCCCTCAATGTTCAGTCCCATCAGACCCCTTGAGCTGGAGGTATTCCCCGGCCTGGCCCTGTCCTCGCCAGCACGAAGCAGAGAGCCCCGCACACAGGTGGGCGTGGTGATGTCTGTCTGGCCACCCCCTCTTTGGGGCTATTCTGAGGACGAAGGGGGATGAAGCTCAGGCCAAGCTTGCAAACGGGGAGCCTCCTGGGACCTTCTCTCTTTTCGGCCGTCAACCTGGGGCTGCCTGACTTCGGGATCGGTGAGGGGTGCCCCCTAAAATGCGGCAAGGTGTAGTCCTGGTTGTTTATTTTTGCTTTTGTTGCCCTGGCCTGAAGCGGGACCCCCCCAGATATCGCTTAGACCGACGTCAAAGAGCCGACTGCTCACACCTTCTGAAGCGGCATAGGCCACACGGTCGATGATGTTGTAATAACTGTGTAGGGTGACCAGGCCTGTCGTGATCCTTTCCTAATGTATCCAGTTACTCTGTTGTATACCTGAAATGAATGTCAATTACCATTTAATAATAAGAAGAAAAAAAGGCCGTGAGGAATGCCCTGGGTGTGGGGGTTGGGCCGGGGGACTGCATGTGAAGACCTGGCTTTGAACGGCAGTCCGTCCATTTTGTCAGAAAGGTAGTCGCGTCCATGGGCCTTGGTTTCCTGCTCCAGGAAATCTGCCTCCGTGGCCCCGGAGGCGAGAGTGGCATGGGCCATTGGGTTTGGGGCCTTGGGACTGTGATGGGCGTGCAGGAGGTAAGGGCTGCAGGACGGGGTTCATTCCCCGGCCTCGGATTTGCTTCCTTCCGGGAACCATCTCAGCAGGAAGTGCTGACCCCACGCCCTTTGTTCCTTTGCAGGCAGGTGACAGCAGGAACATGTCTCGGGAGCTGCAGGATGTGGACCTCGCCGAGGTGAAGCCTTTGGTGGAGAAAGGGGAGGTGAGTGGAGGGGCTCCTGGCTACCTCCCCTTACACGCACACCCATACGTATACTCAGAATACAAACACACACGCGTGTGCGCAGGGGCCCGCGTGCGTGTGCACTTGCACGTGTCCAAGAACGCAAAAGCCCAGATCCACCTTGTCCTTTCGGTCAAACGTTTCGCGTCGCGGAGACCTCCCTGTTGGAGACGGAGGCCCTTGCCGTCCAGCGTGGACTGGAAAAGCCTTTACGTTTGCCCAGTTGACGCTGTACTTTAAACTGCATTCACATCCTCGTCCTTACGGAGCTGTGTAGCTGCCTGTGATGGTACATCTTTTTATTTTTTTCTATTTTTAAAAATGATTTTTTTTAATGTATGTTTATTTTTGAGAGAGAGGGAGACAGAGTGCAAGGGGGGAGGGACAAAGAGAGAGGGAGACACAGACTCGGAAGCAGGCTCCAGGCTCCGAGCTGTCGGCACAGAGCCCGACGCGGGGCTCGAGCTCATGGACCGCGAGATCATGACCTGGGCCGAAGTCAGACGCTTAACCGACGGAGCCACCCAGGCACCCTGCAGCCACTCAGCTTTACAGTAACACTATGACAGCAGCCATAGACAGTATGTGAACAAATGGGCTTGTTGTGTTCGAATAAAACTTTATTTACACAAATAGGGAGAGGGCCGTAATTTGCTGATCCGTACTGTGCACCGTCCCTGCTCCAAATTCATTTCCTTTTCCACTTGAGTCTGTGACAGAGTCTTAAAAAAACCACCCAACCGACGGTAGGGAATACAAATACATATCGATATGTTCTTACTTCTCCCTTTTAAAGAGTCACGTGAAACAGCATGTAGCTCACTTTGCTTTAGTCACTTAACGAACTACCTTGGAGACCTTTCCAACGTCAGTCCACAGAACCCTTTTCCCTTCCCGTTTCACAGCATCCCACCAGCTTTATTTGACCAGTGCCTTGTCTCGACGTGTGGGTCTTTCCAACCCTTTGCTGTCACCAGCAGCGCTGATGGGTATTTGCAACACTTGGACCTTGGATGTAGGTCATTTATATGTGTGCAGGTGCAACTCTAGGATAAATTCTCAGACGTGGAATCTGTGGGTCCAAGGGTAAATGCATTTTTAAACACAGTATTTGTTTTTCAGGCAGCCTAGTGGTGTCCTTGGAAAATTTTATTTTCATAACAAACACCTAAGAGGTTATCAACTGTGGGTTACCTGTCTATCTCTAAGCGAATATTTGCCTTTTCTTTCAAGGTTTCGATGGGAGTAAATCTTCCAACTCCTTAGACTGACTCAGCAAAGTGTCTTTTGTTTTTAATTTTTTAATGTTTATTTATTTTTGAGAGAGAGAGAGAGAGAGAGAGAGAGAGTGAGGAAGGGGCAGAGAGAGAGGGAGACACAGAATCCGAAGCAGGCTCCAGGCTCTCAATGCTCAGCACAGAGCCCGATGCAGGGCTCGAACCCATGAACCGTGAGATCATGACCTGAGTTGAAGTCAGCTTAACCGACTGAGCCACCCAGGCTCCCCTCAGCCAAGTGTTTTCAATTAGAATTGCTTTGGGAGGTTCTTCCTGATGGCTGTCCTCAATCTGGACGGCTGCTCTGTTGACCCTCTGAAGACTGGGGCTACACAGAATGGCTTTTCTGCTCCCTCCTACCAACACACACACGTACATAGGGTGGACGTTGGCCACCTTTGCTTCTGCCTGAAGTTACCAGCCTCCCTGGTGCTCTTTACCCGGCCCAGGGTATGTGAAGCTATTTTAAGCCCCAACCGTCTGTTCTTCAAACCCCACTGTCCCAAGGGGTCTCCATGCGTATTTCCTTCCCCTCTTTTGCATTTCTCTCTGCTGGGCTGTCTTCTTTCCTGGTGCTCGGTGATGGGGTCTGGCTGGGGCTTAGTTTTCAGAGGATCCGTCTCTGGGCCAGCAGGAAAACTTGCCGGCCACGTCTCTTGGAGACGTTGGCCACGTGTCGCTCCACTTTCTCCTCAGAGTCACGTTTTCACTGATCCCCAGGGGACACGGACAGCCATGGAAGAAATTTAGGGACAGTGACAGGGTCAGGTTTGAGTTTAAAAGTTTAACATGTGGATGGAGACAGGGAGACTAGTTCATAGGAAATGGCATTCCCGTATCTCTCAGGCTTGGGGCCGGCTTAGACCTTCGGGTCTTTTTTCACCAAGGCTGTAGTCGGCAAGGAATCTGGGTAATGCGTCTCCTTTTCTGCCGGACTGCTATTCTTTGAGATGAAAAGAGAAGTGTCTCTTTGCAAGAAATTGGAGAGGCCCCACAGAGGGAGGGAGGGTGGAAACGGACTCAGGGCTCGGACAGGCCCGTGTATTCCAACATTGGTTTTGTCCCCTCCCTGGCAACTGACAAAAGTGACCATCTCTCTTGTCTCTCCACAGACCATCACCGGCCTTCTGCAGGAGTTTGATGTTCAGGCAAGTGGAGGGAGTGGTCTCCCGTCCCCCTTCCCTGCTCTGCCTTTTCTGTTTCCTTCTTCTTTCCATTGGTTGAAGAGCGTTGTTCGGCCACGGGGGGGCAGGGGAGGGGAGGAAGTTGCGTCAGCTGGTTCTCCACAGTCAGCTCCTTCTCCCCGGAAAGAAGCTAGGTTTGAGTTCTGGCCCAGGAAGCAAGAGCCCGTCCCCGCCTCCGTGAAGGCCGGAAGGAGAGGCTGAGGTGTGGGACCTGTGCGGGAAGGAAATGGGGAGAGCAGTTGGGTGGGCTTGGGACCACGTGGGAAGCCGAGCAAAGGCTTGATGTTCTTGGCTCTGCTTGGGAAAGTGAACCCAGCCTTCTCTGTGGTTTACTGGCTCCATCCGCTCTCAGGGTTGGCGCAGGCACTGGGGGTGTGTCTGGAGTTTTGTCCAAGAACAAGTTTTCAGGAGAGGAGGCTGGCTGGTCTTGGCAGAGGGGAGGGTCAGAACCCCAGGAACTGTAAGCCCTGGACTCATTATCTCAAGGCTGGCATGGGTCCCACGCTGTGGGGGGACCCTGATGGGATGTGTCCTGGTCAGTGTTGGGTCAATAACACACCCTAAGTCTATTTTTTTTCCAATTTTGTGTGTGTGTGTGTGTGGTGAAGTAGACGTAACATTCAACACCATGACCATTTTTAAGTGTTTCGTGGCATTAAGGACATTTATAATGTTGGGCACCCATCGCCACCGTCCGTCTCCGGAACTCTTTCCATCTTGCAAAACTGGAAGCCTGCCCCCATTAAACACTAATTCCCCACCGAATCCTCCTCCCAGCCCCTGGCCACCGCCGTTGCATTAAGTGATGTCATACAGTGTTTGTCTTTTTGTGATTCGCTTATTTCACTTCACGTAACCGCTTCAAGGTTCATCCGTGCTATAGCACGTGTCAGATTTCCCTGCCGTTTCAAGGCTCTATAACATTCCATTCGGTTTATCGGTTCGTCTGTCAGTGGGCACTGGCTGCCTCCACCTTTTGGCTATGGTGCATAATGCTGGTATGAATGTGGGATGCTCCGGAACAGATTTGCTTTCAGTTCTCTTGGGTACACGCTCCGAAGTAGAATGATTCGATCATGCGATTATCGTAGCTATTTCAAAGCTTGGGCATTGATTCGGAGAAACCTGGAAAGCATAGTTTATCTGTTTCCTCTGAAGATAATTCCTTATATTTCTGTCCCTCTTGGTAGTTTGCAAAGCGCTGTTAGGTGCTCCGATCCCAAGGCACAGGTGGTTGGTAGAGCAGAGAACAGGACCTCTGGCCCCACCTGCCGGCCCAGGCCCACCCTCTAGCCTTGAAGGGGATGGCGTCCAGGCAATGGTTTCCCAGGAGGGGGCGGGCGAGGGTGCCGCGCCCTCCTGACATCAGCAAAGGGGTGACCACGAAGGGAAGCCTCAGCGAGGGGCTGGGAGAGACAGGATAAGGTCTACCCACATGGTGCACCAGGCTGGACCGGGCCCGCTCATTTAATCCCAGAGCTGTCCGGTGAGGTGGGAGCTTTTTTCTGATTGCCCATTCCTTTGTTCCTTTAACAAATGCCTGTTTTGTGCCTGGCATTGTCTTAGGCGCTGGGGACACAGTGGGGAGCGTGACAGGCGGCGATCCTTGTTTTCAGGAACTCAAATTCCAAACTAATCGCTCAGCACTATTGAGCCCTGAATATATGCTAGGCGTCATTCTGAGTGCGTTGTGTGTTTTGCTCGTGGGGCACTCATAACGATTCCTGTCTCCATTTTGCAGGAGAACCCGATGCACAGAGGGGTTAAGTAGCTTGCCTGCAGTCTCGGGCAGAAAGGAAGAGGGCTGGGGTTTGATCTCAACCAGTGTGTTTCCAGAGTGCATGTTTAAAACCACGGCTTCTGACTCCCCAGAAGCGGGGGAAAGTAAACACGTCAATGCCAATGCCAGCTACTGTAGGGGTTTTGAGGACAATAGCTCGTGCTGCGGTCTTGGGTTGAGGGGGTCTTGGGAAGGCTGTCTTGGGTTGAGGGGGTCAGGGAAGGCTGTTGGAGGAGGTGACGTTGAACCTGAGACTGATAATGATACCTGGAGCCAGTCACGTGACCAGGAGAAGCTTAGGGACCGATCATCCCATGCAGAGGGATGGCCCTACATCACACACAGGGCCCCCCACCCCCCACCCCTGCTTGGATTCTGAGCCTTCTGAGGGTGAGCTGAGCTCTTCGCTAAGCTAATAGGCTCAGTCTTACGAGGGGATCACAATATTTGCACTGAATCTGAGTGCTGAATGACACCCTTTCAAGGTTGTCTCCTAAAACGTTAACTTTGTATAAAACTATATTAATTTGGATTGGGCTCCTAAACCTAGTGGACTCATGGTGTTTATGAAAGTTTCCTTCCACCTTCCAGCAGTCTCCAGAACCACGGGGCGGGGGTTGCTGTGGGATTTTCCTCCGGACGATGCATTGCGCCATGTTGCCGCCTGCGTCCTGACGGGTTACTGACCACAGGCGCAGAGGCGGGCGATGACAGAGCCTTGGTCAAGGGTGGCTGCGGGGCGGGCCAGCACAGGGACTCACCAGGATTCACACGGGGCTCTGGCAGGATGTCTCCTGCCTGCTGAGGACTTCGTGGTCCCCTGTTGAGCCAGGCCAGGGCCCGGGGCTTCCTCACGCTCTCTTGCTGATCCTTCAGGGACCCGTACCATCATCCCTACTTGGCAGATGGGGAAACTGAGGCTTCCCGGCGACCAGCAGCTGTGAAGGGGCCCCACTGAACCAAGGCGGTCTGACCCTGACCGTTTTTCCTCAATTATTGCAGCGATAAACGTGGAAGGGCCAATCTGGGCTAGATTCCAGCATCGCTTTGCAATTCCTGTGGGGAAAAAAAAAAGAAAAGCCTGGCCCCGTAGATAATCTGAAGGATGCTTTGGTGGGCTAACATTTAGCCCATTGAAGGCAAGCCGATGCGGGAGTCAGGAGTGGATGTGCCTTAGCGGTGCCCCACTGTCCTCTGTGCCTCTAGTTGGTTCCTCACTGTTCCTTGCGGTGGGGCCCCACCCAGCCCGGCAGTTCCTTGGAAGTCAAGTGTAAGGAGTCTGAGCAGCCTTTCTGTGTGTGTCCGAAAGTGGCCAATGTTATTTCTTGAAAAATATTCGGTGCTTCAGCATTTTGACTAACTCAAGCAGATTCTTTGTTCTTTGTTCTTTTCCCGAAGCACAATTTTTTTTTCCCTCCCGAATCCAAACACACACCGTCGCCCGGAGCTTAGCAGTAAGAAGCCGCTGGAGGGTCTGTTGCCCGAGCTGCTGGGCTGCCCGCCTCAGGAGAGGCCCAGCTGCCAGAGCGGTGGCCTCGTGGCCTTCTGTCTTCCTGGTGGCATCATCTCACGGTGGGCAGTTTGCTTTGGCCTGCGGGATGTTTTGGGGCAGGTTGATTGGTACCCGGGCATGTGAGGTTTTGTGACCTGCTCTTGGGACCCCACTTTACCTGTCTTTCCTGGAGACCCTCTGGGACCCTCGGAGCACGGGGCTCGGTGGGCACGGCTGAGGTGCCGTGACTGCAGGAAGGATGTAAGATGAGGTGACTCTGCAGAGAAGTTCCTGGCGTCAGGATCTAGGTAGTTGTGTTTGCAAATTTGGTGAGTGGGGTAGGTGGGAGTGTTTTGGGTTCCAGCTTACTTCCTTTGGCTGGAATCCTGGAATCCAAGAATATCAGGGCTGGCAGATGCTTTATGATCCAGCCCTTCCCTTTCTGCTCCAGGCAGGGAGGCTTGATGGAGGGCCACTGAGCTGGGGG